AACTATGGCATCGCGGAGAAGGAAGTGTTAGCCCTTCTGAGGATCCTAGATCTGAACTACAATACGCTGGTTGGGCGGCCGATCCGTGTGCTAACTCGACACTCAACATTGGCGTGACTTTTCAGATCCACGGCCTCACAAGGACGTCTAGGACAATGGGCCGCTCTGTTGTGGACACTTGAGATCACCAAGTGTGTCAAAAGGGAGGACGAGATCTTGGGAGCACTGGCAGCCAGTATCACCCCTAGATCAGAAGTGGATCAGACGTTGATCTCAATCGCCCCCAAAAAGGAGCCAAGACGCAAGGTCCAAGCTCCGATCCCCACTATCAGACGAGATGAGGAACTATATGTCGTCAGTTTCGATGGGTCAGCCCGTGTCAAGAGAGGTGGAGGCGCCTACAGCGCGATCTTGTGGAGGCTGCCCGAATAGAGAGTGTTGAAAGCTAGATCAGGGTATGCCGAAGGCTTGACTGTGAATGAGGTAGTACCATGGGTTGTTGCTATGTCTAGATCTGTTGGAGGGTATGGATCCACAGCGTCTGGTGATCTGCGGAGACTCAAACCTGGTGATCCGACAAGTACGAGGTGAAATTGATTGTAAGGCGCCAGGTCTGACACTGTTACGTCAGCGAGCCTTGGATCGACTACGTACGTGGCCAGATCATGAACTATTGCACGTCAAACGGGGCTGGAATGGGAGTGCTGACCGCCTAGCAAGTGCTGCTCTATAACGGCAATGTGGGATCGAGATAGAGTCTGATGCAGAGATCCAGGATCTCATAACTTTAAATAGGTTGGATGAGATCCTGTTCGAAGAAGAAATCATACGGGTATCAGCGGTGACGACCAGATCTAGGGCTAGATCGGGGTGCGTGTGGGATCTGATTCCCTGCGAGAGGAAGTCGTGAGAGAACTACGGATCGAGCGGATCCGACAAGCGCAGGACGAGGAGTCGTGGATCATGGGCTTGAAAAAGTATCTGATCGGAGAGATCCGAGATCTGACACAAGAAGAGGTTAAGATGCTCGGATCCATCGCCACGAATTACGAAGTGGACCAGCTGGATCTACTCTTCTATTGTCCGACATCTAAAGAAGCTGCCGCAGATCGAGATAAGCTGATGCGACTAGTGATACCTGAGGCCCTTCAACAGGACATTCTGCACCACTGTCATACGAGTCTACAGGGCGGCCACCAAGGGGTCGACCACACCTATGATCGGATCCGGGATCACTTCCACTTGAGAGGTCTGTATAAGAGTGTACAACGATACGTGGGGGAATGTGTCGACTGTGAGACAGGCAAGGGCAGACCTCGGATCCGGGGCGAATCGCCTGGCAACCTTCAGGCAACGTACCCATTTCAGATCATTGACATGGATCATATACCCTCACTGCCTAGATCCTTCAACGGCAACACTGAATTGCTGATCTTTGTTGACCTATTCTCAGGATATGTGATCGCCAAAGCCAGTGCCTCCAGATACGCTTAGAAACAATCGCCGAGACTTACGAAGAATGTGTCTTTCGGCGATTTGGCGCGAGCGAGGTGATCCGACACGATCGGGAGCCGGGGTTTATGTCTGACTTCTTTAAGTCGTTCAACAAGATCTTGGGACAACGGCAACGAGCTACTATGGCATATAGACCCCAAGCCAATGGATCTGCGGAACGTATGGTCCAGACGACTACAGGGCTCTCAAAATGTATGTGGAAGACCTAGATCAACGAGATTGGGATGAGTATGCTGAGCG